ACACTTAACTTACATATGTCTGAGCCCAGGAGTAAGCACAAGCCCAAACAAGACTCTGAGAAAAAAAAAAGTTGTGCCATTGCATTTGTAGCCTTCAGACAGAAAACACAATGTCTCCTGTCAGGTGTGGGTGAGGTGTGCCAAGAAAACATTTTGTGCCATGGTAGTTAAAGAGTCCTCTCCCTCCCTCTGAGCCATCCAAAAACTAGGTGGCTGGTCCAAGCCAGCATGCGGAGTCCCTGAAAAGTCAATGGGAAGGATTAGGCATGTCTGCAGGACACTTTCTCCTGTCCCAAAGTAGTTGCTTTAAGATCGGTGCAGTCAATCCCCACCTGACAGCGGTGTTCACTTCCCACTCTGGAAGAACCTTAACAGCTTGCTCAGGAAAGAGGACCAGTTGGGGTTTTGTGTGCTCAGAGTCCGATACACTTCTGAAGAGATTTAACTCCAAAATATCATCAGGCCAGTGGCCTAAGGAGAAACCCCACCATGGTGGACAGAACCAGCATGTATTGCTTGTATCAATTTTGTCCTAGTTACTAAGATTAATATAAACTGTACTATTTATTCCCTGCCACAGATCACGTTGACTGTTTGAAACAGGGCTACTGTGTTCTTTGTTTCCTCTCAAAGCAGACATGGTCTCCGGGTCATATCGTGAGTAGGAATTAAAGGGGAAAAATCCTTGGAGGTATGCCTACAAGTATGAAGGGGATACAAATTCCCTTTCATCAGTTAGAGCTAGGTTGAGGTCTCTGTGATGCAGCTTCTGGGGGGAAGAAAACAGGCTGTTAGATCCTCCACTGAAGAAAAGGGAGAGGAAAAACTTGCCTGGGAATTGGTAGATGTTCTGAGAAGACCATAAAGAGACTTTCACTAATAGATCACAAGGTTTGGTCACAAGGTATGAATCATGCATTCCATGCTTTTGGGGAAGAAGGGATGATCAAGTGCTGGCAAGAAGTAGGATTTAGAAAACCTGGTGAGCCAAAGCTCCTCTTTCATCCTTCCACAGATGATGAGTTGCTGTGGCCAAAGGAGGGAGGCCCAGGGAACACTGGTGAAGATCTTCTGTGGAGAAGACACCAACAGCCAAGGAGTTGAATCAGAAATAACTTGTTGGCCGTGTCCTTTGCGAAGGGGGTAACATATAGTAAAAATGATCTTAGCCGATGTGAAAATGAGGCACTGTCACCAGAGATAGTAAAATGCCCATGGAATATTGCAAAGGCTGAGATAAACTTGCTTAATATAGTTAGGATTTTTCTATCAGAAAACTTTTCAAAGGAAAATATCATTTTACTGACATGAAATATTTTGCAGAAAGGCATTGTTTTCGACAAACTTCCAGTGAAACACAGGAGTTGTCCTCCTGCCAGGAAGGGATCACGGCTCTGCTGCAGTCTGTCTCAGACTGCCACAGCCATTCAAGCTGTCTCAAAGCTGGACATTTGGGATTTTTAAAGTGCACAACTCCAACGATCTGCCTGCTAATGGGAAGTAGTGAATGAATACCTTGTTTTGCTTTTCTTGCGTTTGTGGTTTTTGCTTTACCTATTAAACTGTCTTTATCTCAACCCATGAGTTTTCTCATTTTTACTCTTCCAATTCTCTCCCCCATCCCACTGGAAGGGAGTGAGCAAGCGGCTGGGTGGGGCTTAGTTGCTGGCTGGGGTTAAACCGTGACACATGGTTACTGAACACAACAAGCAAGGTTTTCAGAAGAATCACTGAGCACCAAAGGGTGTTTTTCACTGCGTGTTTACCAGAGGTTTTTTCCTCCCATTTTAATTAATTGAAGTAGTTCAGAGAAATTAATCAAATGGTTACTAGTTGTAGAATTTGAGTCCTCAAATAGACTGTATAAAAATCTTTGTGTTTAGCTGACTTTGAAACCAATCAACATTTATGAGGTCAAAATTTCAACATGGACATTTTTCCTCTGCCACTAGTATTTATTTCTAGCAATAGAATATTCTGGGTTATATAAAATACAAATTAAATGACTGAACTGACCACTTGAAATATTATCTTAATATGATTCCTTTCCTTCTGCCTATGCCTCAGTGCCAAGAAGCATTTAAAATGCCATGCATTGTGTTTGGTTTTAATACTTTCTAAGATACTGGAAAGCATTCATCTACTAGTATCTCAGATCATCAGTCAGAAGCCATAGGAAAAGAGACAGCTCTTTTGGATTTAAGACTGGAGTCTTTCATGTGGGAGAACAGCTTCAATTCAGGAAAAGGCTGTGCTTTGCTGAGCTGGAGGCGATTTCAGCCCATGTCTTCCTTAATCAGGGCAGTGGAGCAGATCAGCAGGCACCTGTCAGTCACTTAGCTCCGGGGGATGGGATATGGTTGGATTTGAGGGTGTAGATGGTGACCTTTCCTTCTATTGCTAGGAGAATACACTGGTAGTTTTATTCCCAAGTTCCATTTTGCCTGGTTTTGTGACTATTACTGTTCAGTCAAGGATAGTTAGGAGACTGCAAATGCCCTTGCATGTTCCTTGAAAGCAGGATTGGGATATTAACACTTTGATGTGAAAAATCGCAGAAGGACACTTCCTGTAGAAACATCTGCTCTAGGTGGACGCTTCCCAAATGACATACCAGCCCCTTACTGTTTTGTGTCTCCTCTGCTCTGTAAAAAGCTGTGATTTCTGTAGATCAGAGGACAATTCCAGTGCAATTGCCCTGAAATGGAAATGAATCCATGTAGTTGGCCAGTTAGAAACTATCAAAATAATGCCTTTCAGTGCTCCATGAAGACGTTCACTGAGGCAGTTGTGAGAAAAAATAGCTCATCTGAGAGGTCCCGTGGCATTTGTTGACTGGGAAAGAGCGCTCAGACCAATGGTCAAAGTACATATTTCCCCCATTTTCAAATGATGCAGTGTCGTCCCTTCTTTCCCACTCAGCTTCCCTCCCTCAGCCTTCTCACAGTCCCCCCGAATCTGCTTATGGCTCCTTGCAGTCTTCAAGGTGCCCTCGTCTGCAGTTCCCAAAGGCTGAATCTATCACTTTAACCACAAGACTATCCTGAATATCTGGAATAAACCCAGATGGCATCATCACAATCAGTGGAGCAGGTCTTTCCAGTGCCAAAGGCTTGCCTTGTTTTGTTAATTTTTTAAAAGAAGACCAAAAAGTGATGGGAATCCTCTGAACCAGACTAACAGTATAGATCATTTTGGCACAGCTGTGAATTTATGGTTTTGGCTGGAGATGAGCTTTGGAACTATCAAAAGCCAGTTGGAGTCACCATCCCAAAAAAAGGAGTGATTCTTTCTGATTAAGGCTCATGATGTAATTAGATACCTTGTGCATTGGGTTTGCGTGGCAAGGCTTTGGTAGCAGGGGGCTGCGGGGGTGGCTTCTGTGAGAAGATGCCAGAAGCTGCCCCCTGATAGAGCCAATGCCAGCTGGCTCCAAGATGGACCCACCACTGGCCAAGGCCGAGCCCATCAGCGACGGTGGTAGCGCCTCTGGGATAACGTATTTAAGAAGGGGAAAAAGTTGTGCAA